AGTTTAACGTTGAATATTATTTATGATCTTAACTTTATACACAAGTGCCAAAATACTATAATTTCTCATAGGGTTTTTGTTTATACAAAGTTTGAGATTGGAATTTAAAATGTATACTGTATCCCTCATTTAAGATTACTTCATTCAGGTTTGGCATCTTTTAACAACAGTGATATGTGTTAAAAATAATGCACAGAATAATTTGGTGATTTAGTTTGTTCCTGAATTCAACAGCTTGTGTTCTGGAGGCTTGAAAGAGAACATAGACAGATCTGATAGTTGTAATTTTCAGAGGACCTAAACAAATTGAAAGTAGAAAGCATTTTTCAGTTCTTAACCAATACATTAAAAACAATTTAGATGTAATTGATAAAGGTAACAAATGTAATTTAAAAAAAAAGGCAGATTTGTTTTGATGTTTTATATTACAACAAACAGTGACACTTACAAAGAGGAATAACATTGGCACAATACTAGCGCCATCTGTTGACCCAATTTTCACTACACCAGATAACAACCATAATGGGAAGTTGTCAGCTTGGGAAGTGAGCTCTGGTAGGTCAGTTGATAAAGCATCAATCTCAGAACACATTACATGAGCTGAAGATACTCAATTCAAGCCTTAGTAATACATATTGTAAACCAGTACTGTAGCAAAAAGTAATAATAGTGCAGCAGATGTCAAAGAAATTGTGGGTTTTGATGTACATGCATGAAACTTAGCATAGATGTAGTCCATGGCCCAAATAATATTTTCAGAAGTGTAGCCACCTTGGCAACTATTTTAACGGGGGTAGGATGAGGATCATACCATCTTCACCTCAAGTTCAAGAGACCAGCTTTGATCTATCGATCCAGGGACCCAACATCCAGTATCGAATGTATGTCTATATAATATAAATCAACTCTCCCAACAGGAAAAACTGACCAGAACCATCTGAAAAGCAATAACATCCTCAGAATAAGATACAAAAATGGATAGAAAAAAAGGACAGAATTGGAACAATCCCCCTTACCTCCACTGTGACCCACAAAACAGAAGGAGTATGAACATGGAAGGAATATAGAAGTAGCATTGGTTTTGGATGTAGTTGACTTACGAGAATGGTCCATTGCACCCTAGCCATTATTTTACCCACATTTATACTTTGTTAGGATCATTATCCTGCCACAGTTCTCTCCCACTTGGATGTGCACCTCTCTTTTTCTGCCCTTATCTACTACACATTTCACGGATGAGTGAAGGGTATACCTGGTTCAGAAGTGGTGCAGTTCCTCTCATCAGATCTTCGGATCTGACTCTCTCACTTCCAGGGATATCCTTTACACACTTTTGGGGGTATTTCTGCCATTCCCTCGCACCAGTCCCGCCACCTAATCAAAGTGGATTCTAGCTAATCTTGTTAGTGGAGGGAAGTGCCGTATCAGAAATTATAATTTTCTTATACTGAAAATGTTTTTCTGATAGGTACTTTCTTCCGCTCACACTTCCTGCACTTCCTCTCCACTTTCCTCCAGTGCTTACATCTTCTGCCAAACTTCGAAGTGTTAGTTCGGTAGAGGCGTATAGAGGGAGGCACATGCATCATGTGAGTATGTTATGCTTCTATTGGTGGAGAAATGACATGTGATGGTTTACATGAGAGACATGCTGGAATCATTCACTTTTAATAGGAGGGAGCAGAAGGCTTGTGGCATGTGTAACGAAACTATTTGCATATAGAGGGCAGCACTGGACAAGAATAGCTAATCTTGTGAGAAGAGGAAAGTACCTATTGGAAATACATTTTCAATATAAGAAAATTATAACTTTATAAATTTTATTTACCATTTCTTTATCTGTTTCACTGATGTAAATAAAAAAAGAAAAGAAAAAGGATCATAACTCTGAGCCCTAAGGTACCCCACTTATGACATAGCATTATAACGAATTTATTGTTATGTATTTATTTTTAACATGAACGTTGTTTAGGTTAAATTTGTATTTAAAAATATGCATAACTTATAGTGTCAGATATGTATTGTGTGTAACGAATTTGTTATATATTTATTTTAATGACAACGTTTGTTGGGATTGAGTTTATGTGTAAAAACGTGTTAGTTATGTATGGCGAAACTCCCGCCAAGTCTCCAAGGTTGTAGAATATTCGTGAATTCAAGAATCGACAATATATCCACTTCCGTAACTGGTTAAATAGAAAGTATTGTTGTCCAATTTTTCTCGAAAACATTTGTCGTATATATAAAAAGATCAAGGCCAAGGAAGAGAATAGATAAGTTTGCTAGGAACCTGGTATAACTGTGTATGCTATAAACCGTGATTTTGCTAACCCTTATCAACCGGAAAATATACAACATTTGACCAGGAACAGTTATAAATTTCGAACGTCAGTGGATTCTCATTGGACGTTAGTATCTTTCCATGAGTATCACTTTATTCTCATCGGACATTAGTGGTTTTATGAAAATATTATCTTATTTCAACGGTCCAACAACTCAGTGTTTGACAAAGCTAGCTAGCTAGCTAGCTTTCCAGCAATTGTATGTACATCGACTTCAAGTTAACTCGCTGGATATCAAGGAGACTCTGAACTAGGAAGAAGATTTTAGGTTATTTGTAAGTTAGTGAAATTTTTGTGTGTCAATCTTGTTGGCAAATTAACTAAAATATTGGCTTCGGACTATTTTAAACTCTCAATACATAACAGCTTAAAAATGATGACAAAACCTTGTAGAAACATTGTACATCTGCTGTTATGTTAAACTTATATTAAAGTTTTTCTTCATTTCCCATTCAAACTGCCTCCAAGCATTATTAATGTGATGGAAAGTGGGATGGGGGTGTCCATGCTAGTATAGTGCAGCTTTACACCTATTATATGATTTGCTAATTTCTTGGTGGTTTTGCCAGCCAGATGGGGCAAAGTCTTCTTCTCATGTGACTGAAAGGGCCTTTGCAAAAATCTAAATGAGCTCCCTTCTGAGCTCTGTTGCACAATTTACTCACCTTACAAATAGTAATGGAAATTAAGTCCCACTGGCCACTCCCCCCACATGAGTGTGGGTTTCTAGTTACTGTGTGCAGAGCAGCAAACATATTGTTTTGAAAGTTAACATTTTCCTTAAGTGAAAATGTGTTTATGATAGATAGCTACCTCTCTGCACACCTTCCCACTAATGGTACACATTATTTTTGCCTTTTCTAAGAATGAAGTTCATTTTGAGTGCAAGTGCTTATGGGTATCTACTGTGCATGAAGGATGTGTTGCCCTCCTATTAGTGGAGGGCTATTGTTGATGATTGCATCATGCACTAGTACAGTTTACATTAGATATATATATATATATATATACACACATGCCTGAGCTGGTAGATAGCTCAAGGCTAGTGGTATGTGCAAAATCTCAAAGGAAGATGTGCAAGGAATAGCTATGTGCAAAGAGGTAAGTATTTATTGAAAATGAATTTTCAGGTAAGGAAAATGTTATCATTTCTGATGGTAAGTATTATTGCATGTATATTACTGCATTTCAAAGTTCATGCTTTTGTTACTTTTCTAGCAAGAAGATGTAATCCTATACCAACTTTGATTCCAAAGTTGTGCATTATTTATGGAGTGTTGTTTAACTGTATATATATGTATGTTTTGTCTTTATACTGTTGGACTGGTTTGATTCATAGTCAAGGTATTTATGTCTATGAGTTTTCTGTACACTCATCAGTTAGTAACTTACTAGTTAGTAATTAGTATCTAATTAATAATAATGATAATAAAGTTATTAGTCAATAATTAGATTTAGAAAATCATATAGACTACTAATCATAACAACAATATAAACAACCACACACACACACATACAAGTATGGCATCATAGACTGTCTAGTTTTACAAATGGAAAAAATTGTAATACCAAAGAAGCTATAAAGGTGGAAGAAAAACACATCAACACAACTTTCCTGAACTGGAACACTTGATAAAGAAGAAACTGAAAAAAGATAAACAATCAGAATAAACAGAAAGAAAATTACAGACATACAGCTATAATCCTCTTTGTCAGAGGTATCTCTGAAACCGAGAATTTGTAAACAACATAGCCAGAAAAGTATTCAGAAGACACAACACAATACAATCACATTTAGTACATGCCTAAAGACTCAATGAAGAGAAAAAAAACACCATTTACATCATCCTCTGTGAATGTGGATACCAATACATTGGAGAAAAAAAAAAGGTTAAAAAAATAAGTAAGAATTCAGGAGTGTAATATATATACAAGACTGTAAAATATTGAACTATGTACATTAGCCCATCTTATCAGAAAATAAAACCATACAATAAAGTGGAATAATGCTGAAATAAAAGGATATTAATTATACATGAGAAAAAAGAAAGATAAAGAAAAGAAAGATAGCAAAGAAGTCAGCAAATAGTCACTTGATTGAGACCTCAGTTGAGTAGAAAACATACCAGACTTCTAACAAGAAGATCCAGGA